GCCCCCAGCAGTGCCCGCTGGGAAGATGGCCGACCTGAGTGCCTCGAGCTCCAGCAGCTCTCTGCGCGCCCGCTCGGCCTCCGCCTGGTCCAGGAGGCGCTGCCGCTCCAGGCGTCCCCGGGCCTCCTGCGCCAGCCGCTCTGCCTCGTGCCTGGGGACAGGGACCGAGGGGTGGGGAGGCGCGTGGGACACGGGGGCCACGCGGGATGTTGGGGGACACCAGGGACATGGGGGGAAAGTGGGTGTGTTGAGGATGTAGGGGGCACGGGGGTATGTGGCTGGTACGGGGGACATGGGGGTGTAGGGGACACGGGAGGGACATGGCAACATGGGGCATATGGGGAAACATAAGGAAACACTGGAGGATGGGGGGGGAATTAAGAGACGCGGGGGACATGGCAGGGCACAAGGGACATGGAGGGACATTTGGGGATGCAAGGGACACAGAGACCTGGCAGTGGCCTCCTGGGAGTTGGTGCTGATGTTGATCTCCAGCTGGAAGGTGCGCTGGAGGGACACAGGGAGACACAGAAAAAACCTGGTGGGACATGAAGTGACACAGGGGGACATGGGGACCTGGCTGCGGCCTCCTGGGAGTTGGTGGCAATCTCGATGGCCAGCTGGACACTGCGCTGCAGGGCATCGCGGGTGCGCTGATCCACGGGCTCCACGCTCTGGATGTCAACGCTTGTCACCACCAGCCCATTGGGGGCAAAGCGGAGCTGCTCCCGCAGCCGCCCACCCTCATCAAAGCCAAACACGGCCGAGCAGATGAGACGATTGGAGTTCTGGGGACAGCAGAGACATGTGAGACACTTGGGGACATCGGGGTCACCTGGGGACATCAAGGATGCTGGGGCACTGGAGACATGAAGGGATATTGGGAACACGTGGGGCTTCATCAAAGCCAAACATGGCTGAGCAGGTGAACTGATCAAAGTTCTTGGGACATCAGAGTTATGCAAGACACTTGGGGACATCGAGGCCACTTGGGGACATTGAGGATTTTGGGGCACTGGGGACATGGGGACATATTGGGAACGAATGGGGCTTCATCAAAGCCAAACATGGCTGAGCAGATCAACTTTGAGTTCTTGGGACATCAGGGATATGCAAGACACTTGGGGACATGAGGGACTCAAGGGGACATCAGGGATCCAGGGAGACCTCAGGTGACATGGAGGGGAGCATGAGGTGACCCAGGGCACCAGTGAGAGAACGTGGGTGAGGCGGGTGGAAGTGGGGGCAGTCGTGCCCGTCCAAGGGGACAGGCTGGGGGGATGTGGGGGCAGCTGAGGAGACCTTGTGAAAGTCATCGAAGGTGACGGCTGCCACAGCGCCACGCACACGAGAGGCCAGGGCCTTGCAGGCATCGCCCACGAAGTCGGGGACGCTGAAGAGACGCCCCAGGGCCTTGGGGTCCTCCGGCACTTCGAAGTGCCTGTGGGGGGACGGTCTGCCCTCAGGCCCCGCCCACTGACATAACCCCGCCCTGTCCCAGAGCCACACCCACCCCAAGGCCATTTGGCATCTGGCCCCGCCTCCCAAG